CGAGTAGGTTCTGGCCAGTCTAATATAGCTTGAACTTTCTCAGGATCTATCCTGATTCCGTTCTGGCCTATGATCATACCGAGGAAGTCTACTTCCTTCACTTTAAAATTACATTTTGCAGGTTTGACAAATAGGTCCCGTTCCTGTAGGCGTCAAAGGATTTCGTGCACGATCCTGTCATGCTCAGCCTCATCATCCGACTTTGTAAATATCAACAAATTGTCAATGTAAATGACGACACAGTTTTCCATATCCGCAAAGATCTCGTTCATCATGCTCTGGAAGGTTGCTGGTGAGTTGGTCAACCCAAAGAACATAACAAGGGGTTTGAAGGATCCTCAGTGGCACGTGAACGTGGCCTTCCAAGCATCTTCTTCTTTGATTCGTACATTATTGTACCCCCAACTTGAGATCTATCTTTGTTAAGATCTTGGCGCCAGCCAATTTGTCTACTAGCTGACTGATCAAAGGCAGTGGATATGCATTTTTAACCGTGTGCTCATTCACGTAATGATAGTCCATAATCATATGCTTTTTACTATCCTTTTTAGGAATGAAAAACACCGGGGACGTCATAGGGCTTTTGGAAGGTCTGATGTAACCCTTCCTAAGCTGTTTGTCTATGAAACTTGACACCTCATCTTTTTCTGGAGCAGAGAGTGGTATCATGTGTCCTTTTCTCGGTTTGAAGGTGTCCTTCAAATATATAGCATGGTCCCAAGGCTTAGCCTCTGGGAAGCGCTCTGATTTATGTTTTGAAAAGACTTTCCAGAAGTCATGGTACTTGGGAGGTACCAGCCTCTTAATCTCTTCCTCGGGTTTTACCTCGTCATCGTCATCGTCAATCTTTTCTAGAGGTCTGAGCTCATAAACGTGACCAGCGTTTATCTTTTCAAGACACTCATTGTGATGGACGTGATTTGGTTTACCCAAGTTCACACACTCCTGAGGGCAACGTGACAACGTGACAACCCCTGTCTGCCAGTCAATCTCAGGATTGTGTTTGAATAGCCAGGTCCAGCCCAAGATTAAATTAATCTTCCCTAGTTGGGTAGCTTCGGCAGTGACTTGTTCCCTGTGTCCTTGGTACTCGACAACAAAGGAACATTTGTGTGTGATACAGCCACCTGCGTTAAGCGTACCGTCAACATTATAGATGGGGATAGATACATCTAATTTTACAAGGGGGAGTCCTATCTGCTCCGCCCAGACCTGGTCTATGAAGATGCCATTGGCGCCTGAATCAAGCAGTGCACTGGTTGGGTGTACCATGCCCCGGGCAAGGTTTTCCACACCAACATCTAAACAGATCTCTTTTTGGAATAAATATGTGCACATCAACACACGCCTTGGGGATTTTGTTGGGAAGTGGCTCCGAAGAAAAAGTATCAAAAGAAACATATTTTTGTATTTTATTGTTACCAGAATCAAGCACCCTAGTGTTTGTCTTGCCGGGGCCATGCTCTAAAGGAGACACTGGTACAGCGGTGGTATTGTGAGTATTGTCAGTGTTAACTTTTTCATCGTCTTGACCTACGGCATCAGTGCTCAAAGCAGCTATATTAGCCAGAGGGTCCAAGGCGAATCCACAGTCACAGCTGCTCATACAAGTACATACTTCTGATAGTAAACTAAGAAATCTATTTATAAATTGGGGAGCCACCCCCTTCTTTCCGTTATTGCTTGTGCAACACCCCAAAGCAGGGGCCACTTTGTTGTGGTTTACTTTATTGTTTCGAGGAGCAAAGGCACCCAAGTGACCTACACTCCGAATTCTTTTCCCTGAGCCTTCATTTCATTGACCTGTTGGTCGTAAAAAAAAGCCCGGATCTTGTTGTAAGAACAACCGGCCAAAGAATGGAGCCGATCGTCCGGTTTTTCTGTTTCTAATTGGCGCGCCTGGCGCCCTTGGTTATTTTTTTGTTGAGTGGCCTGCACTTTGTTTCTACAATCTCGGGCCATGTGCCCCTCCTGCCCACAGTTGAAGCAGGTGAATCTGCGCTTTTGTCCACCCTGGACCGTGCCGATATCCATAGGAGCACCCCGCCCTGGTTGCAACCCGAATGGTTGGAATCCGCGAGGGTGGTTTTTATTTTGGTTTGATGACCCAGGACTCCTCTGGGAATTGTTGTTTTTGGTGGTCCCGCCACCTTGGTGCATTTTGTAGAGCTCTATGGCCCTACATATCTTTCAAACCTCCTCCGCTGCTTGAGAGAGATTCTTACTTCTCATATCCTGCAGGTAAAGCTGTTCTGCAATGTGGGGGTTCACATTGCATTCCAGCAGCTCTACTGCATGTTCATTACCAAGACCCCCTTGGATGGAGAGGGCCAGGAACCGGGTTATGAAATCATCCATCCTCATGTTGCCTTGTTTGAAGGAACGGATTTGCTGACGCGCCCAGTCACGCTGTTGATGATGAGAACTATTGTTAGAAAAAACACACACAAAAACAAACTAACACACAATCCTCCCAGATTCCACGGAACTTGTTTATGGGCTTTGCCTCCTGGAACAGTGGAGTGGTCTGGATGTGAGTGGGGTGGTACGTATAACGATCCTTCAAAGTAAAACCCAAAGATGTATGGGTGTGGGTTTTGAGGAGGAGGGATAGTTGGAATATAGAAAGATAGGGGCTTTGTGGTGAGTATAGACAAGCACTACCTTGCTAATAATAGTACAAGGTAGGTTTGAGAATGACAATATGATGAGGTGACAAAGTTCCCAGTGATAGCAGGCTCCTGACGCACAGACTGTAGTGCTCAGAAGGACTCTAATCGAAAGGGATGACAATCACTTTCAAAAGTGACAAGTGACAATGACAGCAGTTGACAGTGGTAGCAGTAGGAAGTGTTGTGACCACACTGGATCACAAGTAGCAGAGTAGTGAACTTGAGATTAGAGAAGAAGTTTGGATTTGAGTTCTTGTTATTTTTACAAGGTAAAATACAGGGGTTTATATAGTAAAAGAAAAGTAGGCTATGCACAGTATAGCTGTGCAAAAAGAATGAGAAAGAACATGAAGGAAGGAATGTATGCTGACGAATCCTGCATAGGTAGTACAGGATAAGATTGTCAAAAAAAGGAAAAGAAAGGGATAGAACAATAAATGCTGTGAGTAATGTCACAGGTTTGTACAGCCATAAAGTAAAGTCCAATAGCAAAAAGAGAGCAGGAAAATCATGATGTCATGGGAAAATACAGTAAAAACAAAAGGGCAAGGCAAAACACTATCAGTATCAACACAGTTCCTTTATTGTCAGTCAGGCATTCTAAAAAATATGTGTCCATATAAATGATTCAAAAATCAAAAATAATCGCACTGTAAATGAATGTTCTGCTGAAAAAAAGAAACTGGAGCCACCGGTCCACCACCTAGTCCAAATCTGACAGTTCCATGGCCTTACCAGTGGACTGGTTGTGTTGGACAACCTGGTCAAACGAGGGAGGGAGAGGAGTAGTCCCAATTTGGAACAAGTGAGTCCCAGGCAGCGTGTGGTAGGTGTAGCTGTAGCGAAGACGATGGACAAAAGATAAGTGTACCCAAGTGAATGGGACAGCAATGAACATGAGCAACACAAGGGGATGAACCTTCTCCAGCTCAAAAACTACCCACCCACGCTCCAACCAGGCAAGACGGGCAACCGATGTTTTGATAGTATATATTAAGAACAAAGCTTGAAGGAAGTGTCTAGCCACTTGCTGAGAGCAATCAGGGACTGGAACTAGAGTCCAATGTGAGTAACTGTATTATTAGAGAGTATGACAGGTATACAGTACCTAGAGTCCAATGTGAGTAACTAGAGAATAGGAAGCATTGGACTCTGCAGTACTGTCCGAAGTTTTGTAAACAAAGGTAAACAAAGCAGCCATAAAGGCGAAATAATAGAGAACACAATCAATAGTGAATGATAGAAGAATAGATAGAGAAAGGAATGAAAATATATAGGTAGCACAAAGGTGCAGAATCACCAAAACTAACAGTATATGATGGTAGATTGACATCATAAAGATGGACCTGTTGCCCAATTTGAACCGGTCGCCGGGGCTTTGCTGATATCAGCAGTGGCACGTGGTAGTCAACGAAAGCGGATAGGAAGTGGTGACATCAGAAATGGTGGGGGAGCAAAGAAGATGAGGATGTGGAGGCTGGAGGTGACGAGGAGGTGAACTAAAATGGGGATCCAGAAATGACCGTCAGGTGAGAATAAAAACAAGAGTAAGGGACCCATGGTGGGGCTAGGAAAAGGAAGGGGAGTAAGGGAAACAATGAAGGCGAGGGCGCAATGCAATGTGTAGCCAGTGGTGACGCAAAAATTTGCCAAAATGCCAAAACGCGGAAAGTACCGAATGGAAAAGCAAAGGTGAGTGCAACTGGATTGCCTAATAGAGGTGGTGCTGATCAGCCACAAGTTCGAAAAAGGCAATATTAATTACTATTCCACGTGGCACTGTGCCTGTATGGCGCAAAGGCGAGTCTTTTGAATATTCGCTTCATTATTGACACCTGTCCATGCTACCAATCAACTTTGGTGCATGACACCGCCCGTCCTGTCGACAGAACTTGCTAATCTGACTGATCCTCGTTGGCACCCCGGCATCACTTGTCTTTCAGGACTGTCACAGACTTGTCACCTCATGTGATGTTGGATGCCTTTGCATAAGGCCTAACTTAAGAGACGCAAGAGATAATACAAACACTACACTCACTATGCATTCTTCTTTTGCTTGTGTTTGCCGATAATCCAGGTTGGTGTTAGCTTATAGTAAACATCATATGGAGGAATTATGTACCTGCTTGTCAAATCTTGTTTTGCTATGTTCATAGGCATGTAAGCCAAATTTATTAAATATAATTCTCAAGTGACAAAGTGAATCCCTTGAGTTAAATAATGAATATGTATTGGGGAAAATTGCTTGGTTTTGTAAGACCACCCTGGAGTATGGTGGGGAAGTGCAATGAACTATTGTGAAAATCCTGAAACAGTGTGGGGGAAATTCTACATTCTAATGGGAATATCTTGGAATACTGTCTGTGTGCAGTCCTGCTTGCCTAGGTCTATCTGACCAGAATACAAGGTGATTATAGGCAACTTGGAGAAGATCTACATCAGGAAAACATGACTTAGATATAAATGCAATAAATTGCAAATATATGCTATAACAGCAAAGATATCTCTTATATCTATAAGTGCAATTCTTGCACAGTCCCTTACTCTAAACTGCTGTGTGCGCCGGAGTAACTAACTCTTGGTTGTTACAGCTGGAGTCCCAGGTTCAAGCCCTGGCCAATGCATGTTTTCTCATACTATAAACAAATGTCATAATTTGTCAGAGGACCCATATCAAGGTCCACCACACAGATTCCATGTCATGCAACCCATTCATCTGAAAAGGAGGTTCTTCGCCCTCGTCCGTTGAAAACAGGTATCCCTTAGCGTCTACTTCCACCACCATGAAATGGGGAGTGCCCTGCCAATCGGTGATCAGTGGGTGAAATCAATGTTATCGTCGGATTAATCTCACCGTTCGCACATCATGAGACTTATTAGAATGAATACATTTTGCATATTCGAAATCGGCAAGTTTGTCAGTGCCCTGATCGATGATCCATAATACATTTCCAACGCTGACATCACGATGCACCCAGCCCACTTTATGCATGTAATATAGGGCTGATTCTGGCGTGAACAAATGAATGCAAGAGAGAAAAGAGGAAGTATCCTACCTTTAAGCGCGTCCTTTAAACAACAGATGATATTTGCTAGGCTGGTCGTATCCTTAAGGGCAACACCCACATCCTCAAAGACGGTGAGAGAGTGAATTCTGCGCGGCATGAAACTATCATCATTTAGCGCAGGGACACGTAATATGGGCCTGGCGCTATCTGGTATATGTCCGTCGCTGGGCGAATGCCGCTGTGAGGAGAGGGCCATGCTGCTATCAATGGTCAACCACTGAAAAGTGCAGCTGGCCCCACCCTCCGTGGGGTCGAAGGTTAAATCACAGATATCACCAATTAAAACATCTTCGTAGGCCAGAACTTTCAAGAAATGTTTCTCCGCTTCTGCTGCTTCACGTCCAAACTTTTCCCGAATAGCCAGCAGAATCTGCTCTAATATGGCGCCCTCTGCATCACGGTCAAAATCTCTCCACGAGTCTTATAAAGCAACCGTCTTTCCAGTATCGTCATCGCGTGCCTCATATACGCGAGTTCCACGGCCAACCATAGAGTCAGCGCCATAAGTCGCTATTGGCCGTATCGTGGTAAACGTCATAAGCCGATCCTTGTGATGAAGAGAGAACCTGTAATGGGTTTCATCCTGGATCGAGATGCGCTCAATAGTGGGATCCCATCCGAGACCCACGTCAGTGATGGATCCAAATAAGTAAAAGAGGGAGATGACGTTGTCGAAGTCCTAAGGGTTAACAACAGTGAGTGCCGAGACATACATTGTATTACATCGACGTACACTGAGGAAGTTGATAGGCTCAGTAACCGCAAGGAAAGCACGATTGCTCAACCACAGTCTCAGGTTCGTGTTCTCAATCGTGATGCCATATGCAAAACGACGACACGGGTCCTCTCGCATTATGTTATGGAGGCTCCAAATTAACTTCTGTTCGTTCTAAGAAAAACGTTGGCGAATTGGTGTGGAGAAGGATACTTCTGACTTACATCCCTGATGTCCCCTGGATCTAATCTCTTCTTGAACTCGGCGGGTACAGCAATGTCAAACCAGTGGACCTTGTCCTCCACGGGCAGCTTGGCTATTTTTGTTTTGGTTAACCTAAGGTACCCATCGGGACGGGAGGTATTTTTTCGATTTGAGTTTGGCGTGATATATCCGTTGTTGTGAATGCGTACTACATGATTCGAAGTTTCCCTCAAGATCCCATTGATGATATCACCTAGAGGACGAAATACGACTTCTTCGAGCTCTTTAGACTTGGCGGGTTCAATGTCGAAGCCCTTCCATTGTTTAGCTGCTACTCCATCGATAACAACTCCATTTCGAGTGATAATTCCGCCTCCCTCCAAATTTGCACGTACTCGAGCGACTTCTTCTTGAGGAACGCTTGCTTTGAGACGATTGAATGGAAGCTTGAGGACCTTCTTCAAGTCACGGAGAACAGCGGTGCGAGACAAGTTAAGGTCTCCCGTACGGTAATCACTCTGCGTAGTATAGCGGGCGACGGGATCTGTGCCTGGCAAAATTGACAATGACTTTGTGGGGGGTGTCTTGGGATCAACTGTACATTGGAGAGCTCGAAAGTCCTCGACTCTTCTGAAGGCCTTAAGCTTAAGCTAATAAACTCAAAAGGTCGTCATACAACCTACTATCTCACCAACTTCTACCCAAAACAGTACGGTACGTTGGAGTAAGTTTACAAGAAATAAATGTGGAGTCCATATAAACAAATTTCTGAGTCTCGAAGAATATGTTTTCTTCTTTTGGACGTACCTTATAATTACCACAGTGCAAAAATTCTGAGATATTTTTACTCATGAAGATACGTGTACGCACACGTAGCTATATACTGTTATAAATCACTAGGCACGATGTGCGCCATTATACTGTTATACATGTTCAAGTTCACCAAGAAATCCAAATATGTAAATCACATTATGTCCCAGAGAATTCTATTTAACCCATAGTGGTGTACAAAAGCACAAAACCCAAGGAAATTACAGTCACATATGTACACTCTAAAGAAAATCTATTGTCTATGCTTTACTAGTAGTTGACGCCCGAGTATGAGGAGGGGAGGAAGGGAACAAGAACCACACCAAGAACATTGTCGCTGTCTGCGCAACAGTGACATATGTCAGAACCTGTACGCCGAATATATTTGAAAGGAGCCCGGTGATAAATGGAAAGAGGGCTGATCGTATATCATTGACATCAGTGATTTGAGGAAAAGATAGAAAAAGAACACGTACAACTTCCGAAGCTGGCAAAAGATGAACTGGAAAGATACCGAGAAGTGAGTATATCTCCCCATCATTCAGACTCAGGAAAAAGGAACAGACTTACATGATGGCCATGGATACCATGTGCACGTCCTCTGGCAACACTCCATTCGCCAGGTCGAGTGTGCTGGGGAAGATGGGGCCGTAGCAGAGACCTACGACGGCTGCTGAGAGAGAGTTTGCTATGTCCGAGTGGATAAACCAGATTAAAAGGTGCATGCAAAGAGCGAGTGCTGTATAATATTGTTCGATGAGACAAATGCTTGAAAAGATGAAAGCCAAATCGTACCACTACAAATTATGGTTTGTCAGTTTTAAATAAGCCGTAGGATAAATAGAATACTCACATGCACCCATGAATGATATATTTGCGTTGTGTGTATGTCGTGCTGAAATTTGGAAATAGTGAATTACAAATGTTAAAGCCGGTTAAGAAATGTGAATACAAACATTGGAGTAATGTATCCCCATGTGAGTCGGCTGATAGCCATCCCACCCCAGAAGCCACTACTCACATAACCAACCGTGTTTGGGTTGGCATTCTATGGTGGAGTAAAACAAGTCAGAAACATACTTTCCATGCACTGGTAATGAAAATCGGCATACACGAGTGACCGACAGGTATGTGACAATCTGCCAAAATGTGAGTGAATAATTCACACTCATGAGATAACATGACTGACGAATCCTTGCATTGTGGTTTCACTAGAAGCAGAATATAAACAATAAGAGCGGGTTCAATCTCGAATGAAGAGAAATTCACGTACCTGCCATTATACATCCAAGACATGAATGAGAACGCCCATTGATATGGCATGCAAAGAGCACGTTTAAGGGCTGTGAATAATGTGCACCCGGCGCTCAGACTGATTTGAAACATTTTCCACAAGGATAAAAGTACACGTACTGTGTCCACTTTGCACGGGGACTGTGGCGGCGGGGCAGGTAGCGGACGATAGCTGGCACTGATTAACTGGAGTAGCGCTCGCAGGCTTCTGTGACTCCAGCGCTGCCTTACGCTCGGCTAGGTACTCATTGTGCGTAGGACGAAAAGAGTAAGCTATAAATGACGTGTTGATCGCAGACAAGACGAGAGAACCGAGGTAAAAATTTTGCCATGGGACGCCTTTCGCTATGATAGTCTGGCAAACAAGAGGGCTTGCGAAAGAGCCAACACCTAGGCATATCATGTCATAAAAAGAGCACTTCACGATAGTGCAAGGAAACTTACTCCAACAACCAAATATAATTCCTGTGGTTTTCTTCGGCGTCAATGAAACATACGCGTTTCTGAGTAACGGACAACTAAAATGAAGATAAAGCTCGGATATACGCGCTTAGCACTCACAAGGAAGCTATGACAATATACAGATTAAGTCACAACAGCAAAAAAAACCAGTTTTAGACCACTTACCGGTCAGAAAAGCGCGAGCAAATGCTGCGACTACGTATGCAATGAACAAGGTTGGGAAGTTGCGCGCAGTCCCCATGATGACGAAAAAACAGGCATGGAGTACGCTAGAGAGAAACAGAGCAATGAATCTAGATTTGGAGTTTGAGTAAACCACAACGGGGGTATTTTTGGGCCCAGGTGAGGGGAGAGAGGAGAAGGAAAGGAAGGTGGGTATATATGCCTTAGGTCCGGAAGATATATCGAAACGAGCTAGACACTTCACAATTCGCTCAACGAGGAGTGTGCCAATCGCGAATCTAAGACAAAGATATCAGAATTCTACGAGCCAGCTGAAGTCATATCATAAATGTTGCTCACCCTGTTGTGCTTCCAGCAAATAGAAGGGATGAGGTCATATAACTCAAATGAAACTCGGCTTCAAAATCTGCATAACCGAATTCATATAAGTTGTGGATTATGAGGGACACAACTTGAAGATCTTACATGGAAGAACGGTTCCAGTGACTGCAAAAATATTAGTCATCCTGGAGAAATACAATACCGCATTAAAGGAACTCACGTCCATCCCCCCACCCACATACAAAATAGACGTAGTTGGCGCAGGCAAGACGAAGCGCCATGTTCTCCCACTGAGGATGTGTCGAAAAATTTTCCGGTTCCAGTTCTGTGCTAATTGGCATATCTTCCCTAGTCGCACAGGCCGTAGAAAGGTCTAGGGGGGAACTAGAATAAAAAGTCGCCGAAGGAACAGTTGATGTCGGCGAGAATTCTATTTTTTCGGAAAAATCGGTAGAGATATTAAGGGTGGGTGTTTGCGATAGCGCAAAATTATCAAATGGGTGTGGAACAGTCGCTCCTACATTGGGATCACTGGGCGGCTCAGAGTCGTAAGACAACGCGTCGTGCATAGCGCTCTTCGGAATATCGTGAGGATAAAGCGTAGAGTCATTTATAAGAACGTTGTTTGTAAAGTGAGAAGTGCTGCCCATGAGTCGTTGAGGAGATGGATAGTAAAAAATGGAGCTTTAGTTATTAGATAGGAGAAAGAGAGAAAAGGAACTAACGAATGGAGAATACAGCTGAGGGCGTGCTTTTAAAGGGAAAATCTCTAGGGTAGACTACATGACTACATGGTCCGAAAACTTGAACCTAGAGGATCCGCGAGATACAAATCAAGGCCCTGGAACCCATGGCATCAGTGGGCTCGACATCATACACTATTTTGATGATTGCAGATGAAATCGGACCGTTTGTTCGCTTCTACGACGATTCTAAGACATGCATGCCTCAGCGATTGGATGGTGTACGCGGAGAGTGACATAAAACGAGTGTTATGGTGGGTGTACACGAGGAGAAGGCATAGAGCCGACGAGATAAAGCTGCACCAGGACTGGGTAAAGCCAAGGATGTTCCCATATAAATTTCCGGCGGACGGGCTTGAGATAGATTGCAGGGATTTACCCTTCGCTACGATGGTCATTAGGACATTGGAAGTCGGACCGGACGCTGGCAATGGGGAGAATGGATAGTTCTAGACTGGTGTAGACGGCATTATTTTTTATCTCTAGTAACTTGCGTGTGTGGATGCGCAGTCAGAGGTGCATTTGACAGGTAAAGGTTGGTAACATTTACACGTTAAGAGCGGACTCATGACCGTGATAACACTCTTCTTCCAGTTCCGGAAAAGGAAGGTCAAGTTGCACCGATGTTTCCCACAGTCTGTGGCCATTGGCGGACCAAAACACTCGGCCAACTCATTACCATTTCCTTGTCTTCCGTCAAAGCCATGAACACCGGATTACTTTCCAGGAGTGAAAGACTGGTCCGAGGCCTAGCGGAACTTATAATCGTATGTGAGCGAGGTGGCACAAACTCTAAAACCCTGCATGAACCATGAACAGCTGATAGGCTTTCTACGCGCATTACACAATGAATAAGCGAGTAAATACCGGATTTGTAGATCAGGTGAGTACTTGCTTTTCACCACGAGGACAAGGTTCGTTCTAGAGCGCGCTTCTGGATGGCGAACTGTTGTGCATACGACGATGTGGTCCCATTATCCCGATATGTTGCACTTCTTGCTGGCCCTGCGTTTCACTCCTCGTTTGGAGCCATGAGTTCAGAAGCAGAAAACTCCGGTCTTATTAAATTCTAACTCCACTTACTTCGCTAAAGCATCATCTGTTCATTGACTAACGTGAACTTGCCCGTGCTTATCTCAAGATACTCATCCCCATAACCCTTGTCTTGGCAGAGATAATGAACGCGAAACCCAAAAATTTACAGGATTGCTACTCAGCTACGAGACTCTTGCTTTTTCTGACCCTCATACATTTGGAAAACTCGATCCAATTTTCCTTCTTCGAACTGCTCATAGCTGCTTCTGACTGATGGACCAATCGGGGCCTGAACGTCGCCATTCTCCAGACGTTCCATTGTGAGCTTTGTAAATTCATCGAGGGGCATCCAGAATCGAGAAAGCGTGTCTGCAACACCCTGGTCTAGCGATATCGTCATATAAGATTAACATGTCTTTGAGACTACCAAAACCTCTAGCAGACTTACGGTCATGTAGCTCTGACTCAACCAAGCTAGAAGGAATGGTAATTAGAATGGATAGCAACAGGAACACATGAGCGGACCGTACGGAGGGAATATCTCGACAACATGTACGTTTGAATCCCTTAGCTGTGCGTTTAGAGTCAGGCTCAAACTATGAAGGGCTGCCTTTGTAGCACAGTAGTTTGGCACCCAAGCGCCTGGCACAATAGCAAGGCTTGATGTCACAGTATAGATGAAGGTGGGCCTTCCTTGCTTCTGAAACGATGGATGGAGCCAATCAATGGGCGTCGTAAATCAGCTAACAGAAATATATGACTCACTCCAAGCTGAATGAGGTGTGGCAAGAAGAATGTTATCATGCTGACTATGGAAGTATAGTTCGTATTTAGCTCGCTTGAAAGTTCTGTATTGCAATAGCTTGGTGAAGATGGTGCACAGATGTATTGTAAAGACGACTGACTGTCAAGATCAACTGAGTCAGGCTTGGTGAAATCAAACTGGTGCTGTATACCAGCTGAAAATATGATCGCGTCAATCTGACAGATAGAAATGCATATAAGTCCGAATTCTCCGTCGACAATACGTATGCGATGATAGTGTACATACATTGGGATACTGACCAACAATATCCTTCACTGTTACTTTTAAAGATGCTGGGTCAGCATTGACATCCATATTCAGAGTTTTCAATCTATTTTCGCCTGCGTGCTGTTGAGCAAGGCTGTAAAGACGCTCCTGACGACGCCCTGACACAATAACAGTCGGTTTTGTGGGCAAAGCTAGGATGCTGAGAGCGAGAGCGCGACCGATGCCGGAGGTTGCGCCGACAACGAGGACGCATTTGCAGTCATGGATGGACGGCATGATAAACTCTGGGAAAATAGTAACGGGATGTGGGGATTCGAGGGAAAGGTTGTTTATCGAGTTGTGGACTTGGTGGGTCTTCTATATATAATTTCATGATGACTGAGCACGTGAACTGCGGAAGAGCTATGTTGCGATCGGTGGATATCGACTTTGAGCGCTTTGAGCAACTAAGAGTGGCACAGTAGATTACTATGGTATGATATCACGACGAGTTGGATAGTACGTCATCGCTGCAGTGATCTTCAGTGCATAATTAAAATATCACGTGACTCACTGAGCCAGTGAACATAAAAAGCTTGTTGGCCTCTGTAGACATTCGGGAGCCAACAGTGTTGCCAATACAGTCGATAAATTCTCGACACTGCTGACACTTTCTTTACGTTTACATACGCTTGAACATTTGAATCACTTGATCCACCTTCCCCTCCTCGAACTCTTTGTAATTTCCGCCAACCATGGGGCCAATTGGAACCTGAATGTCGCCCTTTTCCAAGCGCTCCATCGTGAGCGCCGTAAATTCCTCCAAAGGCATCCAGAAACGAGACAAACGTTCATTTGCACCCAGCTGGTCTGCAAGAGGAGCGTCAGCTTGAGACGATACCTTTCATGAAAGACCTACGGTCATGAAGTTCCGATTCGACCAATCTGCATGGAGTATTGTTAAAACTGCATCCAGGAGGCGGAGAGATTCTTACGGTGGGATTATCTCGACCACATGTACGTTCGAGTCTCTTAGTTGTACATTGAGGGACAGACTCAAACTGTGAAGAGCTGCCTTAGTAGCACAGTAATTTGGCACCCATGGGCCTGGAACGATGGCGAGGCCAGACGTGACGGTGTAGATGAAGGTGGGCCTGCTTTTCTGAACGAGTGGGGAGCAGGAATAAAGTAGTGAGACTCTAATTTCGTCTGACAGTTCGATAGACTCACCCCAAGCTGAATAAGATGAGGAAGGAAGAAAGTTATCATGTTGAATATAGCATTGTAATTCGTATTCAGTTCATCTGACGCCTCTATATAGTAGGATTATGGTTAAGATAGCATCAACGATAGGAAATTTATTAAAGGCTAACGGTCAAGATCAATTGACTCGGGCTTGGTAAAATCAAACTGATGTTGTATACCAGCTGAAAACATAACGGCATCAAGCTGTAATTAACATTTTGATGTGAGGACAAGTTCAAAGCTAACAGTAGGATAAGTATAACATGAACATACCTCAGGATACTGACTAATAACCTTGTTCACAGATGCTTTAAGGGATACTCTATCGACACCAACATCAAAATTGAGTGTCTTCAGTCTAGGTTCATCGGCGTGCGCTTGGGCGAGCTCGTCGAGACGGCCCTGGCGACGTCCAGACACGATAACAGTTGGCTTTGAAGGGAGAGCGAGGATACTGAGAGCGAGAGAACGCCCAAGGCCAGAAGTTGCGCCTATGATAAGGATGCACTTGGAGTCGCTAATGGAGGGCATGATGGTTTCAGCGTATGTAGGAGGATGTGTTGGTGGTCTTGAAAGAATACAACTTCAATCCCCTTTATAAGGATTTCATGGTGATGGGAATTCTAGAAGCACGTGAACAGGAGTAGAAAAGACACTGCAGATTACGAATCGAACCCGCTTACTTGGCTGAAGACTGCGATGCGAACGCGCAGAGAATACGATGTATGCGATGGAAACATACTAGTAGTAATAGATCAGCACTGATAGGATGACCCAAAATGACTCGAGGATGCTACATGATCTGTAAGACTGGACGTTGCAGACATATGCCGTCGATACACGCGTCGAAAGCCGGCGTGCTTGTATACGTCCCGCCGTAAATACAATTGCCTTCCTTGCGATAAATTTGAAGGAGTGCCAACGGTGCCGGTCAGCCGAGACGCTTGTGGTCCACCTGCCGACCTGAGTCAACTCAAAAGTTTGACTCAAAGGACCTTAAGCTTGTGGCATCGTTCGTCACTCACTAAAGGCACCGCGAACCCATAAGTTTAACATGTCTCCCTTGCTGATCTAATCCAATATTGATGACAGTCGATCGATATATTGTGGATAAGGGACCATGCATCCTGTTCAGGTCTTTCACTATCGTTCTCCGGGATACGTAGTCCATATGTAACTCAGCACTCAGTTCCAGACAAATATTAGCATGACATAGTTTGGATTTGGCATCTCTTAATCAAACTAGCACGTCCTGTCAAAGCATTTGGGCGCTGTGTTGCCAATCTCACCCGGTTAAATCAACTTATTCCTGACGTCCTCGTGTACTTTTATCACCCGTTCCAGCTTTCCCTCCTCAAAGTTCTTCATCATTGTCTTCAACTATGGCGTCATTCGGAATCTGGACGTCGCGGCTTTCCAAATGCTCCATTGTGAGCGTTGCAAATTCACTGAACGACATCCAGAAACGGGAAACGCGCTCTTTAGCACCAGGCTGGTCTGCAAGTCACCAGTGTTTGAAAAAGAAGGTAGTGACCTAAAGGATAGGACCGATCAACATGAAGGAGAATGCTTGCGTCGAGACCGATCAGTCGAATAAGTTAAGGAGCCTTGCTGGCTACTTCATAAAAGAAAAGGATCATTATTTGTGTCAAACGATCGAACGTTATAGTTTTCTCGAACATTGAAAACTAACCTTACTGTCAGATTATCGAGACTGTAACTCTTTCGTACCTTCCCCGATAGCCCAAACAATATTGGTGGTATTATCGCTCCATACGGCGGAGTTGACGAAGCAATTGAGACAGGCTAGCCCAAACCACACCATAAGCAAGCATGTCCCACATTTCTTGCTTAAAAATATATGGTCATTGATGCGGTGAACAAACTGGAAAGCAGATACTCACTTCGGACATGCAAAGACAACCGAATGAGGAGGAGGAGGAATGCGATAAGTGTGAACGCGGTATGGGTGTGATTTGAAGTTTGACTGAAAATTCAGAGCCTTACCACAGAAAAGGGGGACGAAGCGATGACCGCAGCATATATGCTATCCAAAGGGAATCTGGAGTGAAGAATGGAGATAATGCATAGTTTAATGGGATGAAAGTCGAAATTCAACTTAGTCCAAAGTACTTGAGGTCGAAACTTACGATATTCTACACATTGTCGCCCGGTGTTCCGATATATCGTGTATTCCAACTTAGTGATTATCTCCTATGCCAGTGACGACTGTGCACAAAAACCGCTAAAGCAATTAATATTGATCACCATGGCTCGAAAAAAGCTAAAGATTTGATGCTGAACGGTTGTTAAAATTAAGCTTTCACAATACGACTTACTAGCTGGGACACCCTACCATCCCTGTTAAGTTGTATGGCAGTATATTTGGTATTATCATCCAAATTTTTCAGCCAAAGTACCCCAAAGTGGGCACTAAGTTTGATGATGCAGATACCCTTACGAAGCTACATGCGGCGTGAGACTGCCAATGCTCACACAAAATACTCTCGCCTGTCCTACCCGCATCGGCGCTGATCAGTCAAATGCTTGTGATATTTATAGACATTGTATGGTGCACTCACAGCCTGGAGATAATAATTCCTCCGTTTTCTTTCCCCAGAAGCACCGTTAACGCAAAGCTGAAAACGACCAAGGAGGATAAGTTTATCTTTTGAATTATGTACACGCCATGTATGAACTGGCTCTACCGTCATTCGTATCTTGCACCGTAGTGTTATCCTCTGTGCCGGCATCAAACTGTCACGTCATACCTTCCTGGTACGGCAGTTCTGATGAATGAAAACATATTTGTGGACTGTGGCAGGAGCCATGATCTTGATCGACATGCACTTTGCATGAGAGTTGATCCAGGTCTGCATGTCATCCCTAAAGACATAGTAACGAGTTTGTGACGATAGATCGGCAAAAACGATATTACCGATCACTGACGATCCAGCGAATCCTCCTTTCTTCAACCCACGACTCTTCTGAGTCGAAGATTCGAGGCCAATGCCAAAGAAAGGTAATTCAAGTAGAGAAGCAGCATCGTATCTACCCCTACGACTTGCCCTAGCCCACCTACACGTGGTTTTCTGGAAGCGAGTCTCTCATCAAAATAACATTTATTGCAGATGCAAAATCGAGATGAGTGAAAAGCCGGTCCAAGCATTATGAGAGTCAATATTAGCACATGAGCTGCACATAGCAGCAAGCCCCCTATCGCTTGCCCTTGACCACAGCATGCATGTTCAATAACATCGCGATAGGATTTTGCGGCTCTGCAAGCTGTAAAAAGTCTGCCAGTGTGCTTCGAAAGAATACCCGAAAGTATGGGGATAAGCGCAGTAACCAAAGTAAAGTGTAGGGAATCATGGGAATGACCTAGGGATAACCGTTATTAGATGACGCAGAACTACTGCATTGCACCTGGTAACACAGAATCCAAAATCACAGGTGTGAAATCAAGTACGAGCCTTGCCACGCGTCAATGGCTAATGGGGGAAGCACGAGAGAGATAGATGGACTTTTTGCATTACTTCAGACAAGTCCACCTACATTTCCCCACTACCTCCCAGAATGAACATACAACGCGATAGTTTGATCCCTGCCGGTAGTTATGGGCGAAGGCGACCATGGTTGGCGCATAAGATTCCAAGTGAGGATATAGGCGTGCCTTCGATGTCCCACAGAGCACGGCAAAGCAACCATAGTAAGAACACGCGCCTGTGCATTTGATATCTCGCTGGCACTGCGGCCTCACAGAGAAAGAACCTAAAAATGCACGGATGCGAGAGTAACGGAGGCAGGCTGATCGAAGACTGATTGACATGTCCTCGCAGAAGCACGTCCTTGCAGAAGGCCTGCTCATGTTTCTTGGAGCGGTACTGATAGTAGTAACATATGTTTTTCTTATGTCTGCAGTGACCGTGTGTTTGCTTATGGCAAGTGCTGCACTGACCAGGTGGCTGGAGCAGCTCAGCCACCGGCTGTAAAGAGATAGGTTAGGGTTGGAGTGGCACGCCTCTCAACGAACGACCGCCACGACCAACACCCATCGCTGTCAGACGGCTTCCGCGATGCCTGCACCAGCGCCCTTTTCGTCCCCGCACAACCAGCCTGCATTCCCCGCTCTTTACCTTTACCCCCTCAACGACACTTTTATCCCAAAACACATCGCTCTCGTCAACAACCAGCGCGTGAAGATTGGCAGACAAACAAATGCCAAAACTGTCCCAGCAGAACGAAACGGTTACTTTGACTCGAAGGTTTTGAGTCGCCAGCATGCAGAGATATGGGAAGAGGACGGCAAGGTGCATACCCTTCTCATATCCCAAAAAAATTATCTATTGACCGCTCGTCGCTCATTCTTGTAGATATACATCAAGGATGTCAAAAGCTCAAACGGCACTTTCATCAACGGCAACCGTCTCAGTCTTGAGGGTGTTGAATCCCAGCCCTTTGAGCTGAAAAACGACGACATCGTGGTAAGTCTCTTTCAGCCTCATGACCCGCTCGCATCGCCTTACTCTCCACCTCATCATAGGAATTCGGCATAGATATCATTGGAGAGGACAACAAAACTACCATTCATCACAAAGTCGCTGCCCGTGTCATCTGTGTTTTCTCTGAAGAGGATGCTCAGATAGCCGCCCGAGTCGAACAAATGCAGAGCAATCCAGCAGCCAACACTGTCTCAAGTCAACAAGGCCCCAATGGTGTTAACAATTCTTTCTCGTTTGCCCAAGGCCAGAATGGCCCCTCCCAAGCGCAACGCAGGCCCACAATCCAGTCCCAAGGACTGGGAGGTTTGGGTGGCAGCATGCGTCCTCCTGGTAAAGGCGGTCTGACATTCGACCATATCCTAAGTCGACTGCAAGGCGAACTCCAAAAGAGCCGAGACACAGGTGCTGAGCTCCACTCGTTGAGCAACGCCATGAATGATATCCATGATACCCTTAGCGGTTCCTCGGTAAGTCGTGCCTGACTCTATACCTACTGGTTTGCGTGTGAACAATCTATCTATGCTGTCTCTTGTAGCCACCCAATCCTCCACACTACCCTCAAAATCTTCCACCAGTCCGTCAACCTCAGCCTTCGAACCAGGGAGACGTCGGCGCTCCCAGTAGCGATGCCGGCTCCTCCATTCCCTCATCTGCTCTTACGGAACTCCGAACACAGTTGCACGAAACGCAATCGTCTCTCGCCAACCACGTCGACAAGGTGCGCCAACTGGAAGGCATGCTTGCTGAACACGAGGCAATTAAATCAGAAGTAGCAAACTTGCGGGAAATGATGGAAGAGCGTAAGCGCGATATGGAATCCCACCATCAGAGTCCACCTCGACATCACAGTCATGAGGATCGACATGGTGATATGCGGGGTCGCGAGTATGAGGGTGACGATGACGATACCAGGAGCATCAGGACTATTGTTCCGCATGAGTTGGAGAGGGTAGATGAGGAAGACGAAGATCAGTTGACAGCGGAGGAAGAAGATGAAGAGGATAGAAGGCGAAGGCGGGATGAATTGGGTAGGCCCAGAACACCTGAGCCAACTGGAATGGGGATGGCTGAGGATGATGATGAATCTCTCGGGTCGAAGCACGAGAAGCGCCCTGTATCTCCGTTACGTAACGAGGAGCGCGAGATAACTAGGTCATCCGCTGCGATCGATGACCTTACCGAGCGTCTCACGGCTTTGGCAACTCGATTGGAATCGGCACTTGAGTTCACGAATTCACTTCAGACTCAACATTCTGCAGCTCAAACCACGATCTCGTTGTTGGAGAGCAAGGTTGCATCGCTGGAATCGCTTGTAGAGGTGACTCAGGCTCAGGTTCAAGCTCAGACCGCAGCTCAAGAGGCAGCTCAAGCGCAACTTTTGGAGGCAGCTCGCCAACCGGCACAAGATAGGGAGAAGGAACGCGAGTCATTAACACAAATGCTAAACGAGTGGAAGAAGAGTGTAGAAGGCCAATGGAATTCTGTACAGGAAGAATGGACCCAGGAGCGTGAGCGGCTGTGCAAAGCAAAAGAAGAATGGGAAAGCAAAGCGAAGAGTCTTGAATCCGGTTTGGATGCGAAAGTGAGTGCTGGAGTAGCTTCCATAGTGGCACTGCAAAACCACCACTACGTGTCCAATGGCGATGCCAAAATCAACGGTGGAGGTGGATTGTTTACGCCTCCGAGTCCTGTCAGTGTAGCATCCGATTCTGGACGGGTGAAACCCAAACGTCGACGGTCAAGTTCTTGTCGAGGTCGCTCTCGCTCTCGTTCTCCTTTTTCGCCAATCGAAGTGACTGTAGGCCATGAAGTTCTTGGTCAAAGCAATGGTTCGAGTTCCGCAGCGCATCGTGATCCATCACCACGCCAACGGTCGCGCTCGCCTTCGTCGTCACTCCCAGATGACAGTAGCGAGGTAGGTGAGCTGTCGAAAGGTGCTATGCAGGTTCGATATCCTTATACTCCTACATCTTCGGAGTATGGTTCCCCGGCGGCGGCGCCTGTGCCCACTCCAGTCCCTGTCCCTGATGTGACATCGAAAACCCGCTCAAAGCCGCAGTTTACAGACGTGGTACGTGAACGCCTTCGCAGTTGTTCTGTCGAGTATCTAACCATTGTAATCTCTTTAAACAGCAATTAGCTGGTATGTCGACTGCTGTCGGGGTACTAGTATTGAGCGTCGCTGCGGCAGCAGTACTATGGCGAGTTAATCAAGAATAAAACTCAAAAGTACGTAGACGGCATTTTCTCCCAGCAACATCTTATTATGGCAACTACTTCCTTCATTCCGTATTTCGTCTTTTCTTTATTACTCTTTTTTGCTGCTCTCGTTTATTGTGGTGCACATGTATATATTCTATGCATGCCTTCTCCGTATTTAATGACAAGCGACGACTATAATTGATGCAGGTGACTATGTATATGTTGCTGCATGTTTTGTTCTTGCAACGAGTCTGTAAAGGGAATATGTTAAAAGAACCTAATATTGTGGCGTGTGGCAGGTGTGATGAGAACAGTGATTGCTATACTGGTACCATCACGATAAACTTATGACCATCCGCTGAATGTACCGCTGGCAGTCCGTAGGCTAGACTTACCGTCGAGAGAACGGAACGGGATGACTAAACGGAATGTATGGATGGCAGTCGAACTTCAAATATCGGATCCTGACTCAGATATTTGTCAGCGATAACCGACGTCGCCATCCTTGATCACCTCTTCGCCATGCCAGGGAGAACGCCTTTATAATCCCTCGTGCTCCATTTCTGCCTCTTGATCCACTTTCCCCACTTTGTCATTATCCCCCCCTCCCATCCCCCATTGACATACACTCTAACGCCATGACCTTCATCTCCGAGTCTGCACATTCTGGCAATGGATATCACCCCAAGAAACATCTATCGCATACAGATGGTTTTGGGACGAGGGCCATCCATGTCGGTTCAGAGCCTAACAAGGAGACGGGTGCGGTCATTCCACCTATTTCCCTCAGCACCACCTACAAGCAGGATTCAGTCGGTGTACACAAGGTAAGCCAACAAGCCCGTCTTATCTGTGGTGTCTTGCTCATTCTCTTCAGGGATTCGAGTATTCGCGATCAGGAAACCCGAACCGTGATGCCCTAGAGTCCACCCTCGCATCCCTAGAGTCTGGAGGAGCCCATGCACTCGCTTTTTCGTCCGGATCAGCGACAACCGCGACAGTTTTGCATTCCCTGGGACCCAATGCCCACGTCGTCAGTGTCAACGACGTTTACGGCGGCACCTTCCGCTATCTCAACAGGGTCGCTGCAGAAACCCAAGGCTTGGAAACCACGTTCGTAGATCTGGAGGAAGCGTCAGATGATACCATATTATCGTCATTCAGAGATAATACCAAGGTAAGGCCTTGATTAACGCCCATTCGCTTACATGAATATGATGTATGCTCACGCGCAAAAATAGCTCATTTGGATAGAATCACCCACCAACCCCACCCTTCGTCTCGTAGATATACCCCGCATTGTATCACTAGCCCGCTCGCATGCCTCCAATCCCATAGTGCTCGTCGACAACACCTTCCTCTCCCCCTTCTACTCCTCGCCTCTCCTCCAGGGTGCAGATATCGTCGTGCACAGCTTGACAAAGTATATCAACGGTCATTCTGATGTCGTCATGGGCACAGCAATCTTGCCCGCTCACAACGCAGAACTTGCGAGCAAATTGCGCTTCCTCCAAAACGCGATTGGCGCCGTGCCGAGCGCGTATGATTGTTGGCTTGCACAGCGTGGTGCCAAGACATTACATCTCCGGATGAAAGCCCACGGAACTAGCGCGTTGAAGATTGCTCAAGTGCTACAACGCTCGCCATACGTCGAAGACGTCATTTACCCCGGTCTTGCGTCGCATCCCCGACATGCGCTAGCGTACCGTTCACTCTCGCCGCATGCGACCAAGTTTGTGGAGTCGTTGAAGGCGCCGGTGGATCAGGATGGTGTAAGCGGTGAGGAAGAGGGCGGGTTCCCGTATGGGGGTATGGTATCGTTCCGCATTCGAGGAGGTGCGGTCGAGGCAAACAAGTTCCTCACTGCCACGCGACTGTTCACATTGGCAGAGTCACTCGGTGGTGTTGAAAGTCTGGCTGAGTTGCCCTCTAAGATGACTCATGGTAGTATTCCACCGGCGGAGAGAGAGCTGCTCGGTATCGGCGACAACCTTATCAGGTTGTCTGTTGGGGTCGAGGAGACAGATGACCTGGTCGCGGATGTGGAGCAAGCGCTGGAGCTTGCTGTTGGAGATGGCGAGGTTTTGAAGAATGGCTCGCATTGATATATATTGTAATATTATTCTTATTATCCAAGTTTGGAGGACCTGCACTCGCATAGATCGGATTGGTTTTGCTGTAATGCTGTTGTAATGTGACATTAGTGTTGTACTGGTTCAAATAGATTGTGTTTTGCTTTTGACCGCGATAGTAAATAAACGGGGACGAGGAAGATTACGAAAAAATGATTGACTATAAAAGATATACGATGACAAGTGACCGACACAGTCATGCTAGATCAGAAAACCGTCCGAGACTGAACAAAAACCCGATACGATTGCAAAAAGGCAAAGTCCCGTCAAACAACTTTACTGTAAAAACAAACAAACATCAAAAATGACAGATCATCCGACGGCAATGCTTTCAAGGATACTTACACCCGAGTGACCTAAAGTGATGGATGCGCTCCTCTGAGGCGAACACGCCCGTCCTTCAAGCGTTCAGTGATTATAGGGCTCGCTGCAGGACGATACTTGTGCTCCTTGGAGTATCTAAAGACTTGCGATGATAAGGATGCACGCCTGTAAGGGTTAGCGGAGAGACGAACCTAGAAGCGTGTACGACCTTTGGCTGTGTGTTGCTGCTGGGCTTGATTGACCAGGAGAGCCAGAAGAGAAAGAGGACGAAGAGGAGGAGGGCGACTCTCTTCCACATGGGTGGGGTGGGACGGTCGAAGCGAGGGTCTGTGCGGTATGTGGGTGGACGGGAGGGGGACGACTCGAGCTGGTCGTAGTTGTCAGAAGTGGGGACACGCTGGTAACTGGCAGCAGACATTTGTTGAGAACGACAGGAGGAAAGGAAAGTGAAAGGCAACCTGGAATGGGAAATGGAATATCGTCGAAAGTCTGGAAAAGCAGAGAGAAGGGGAGATCGGAGTTTGAAAGTTGCTGTTGTGCTGAGATGAGTAGAACACCCGAGGAAGAAGAGGAAAACACGGTTGGAAGCGGTAAATACATTTCTGTCTATTCTTGCCACACTCGTCTCACAAACCAAAGATATGCAAATGTCCGAACCTGCTTCTGACGACATGGACATCGACGACGAGCAGGACAACAAGCTCGACGGCGACGACCACCAAGACAACGACAG